TGTTGGTCACATGACGTTATATTGGGGAATGGAGATAGACCTTCATATGGTGTACAGTATCTCCTCATTTGTTGGTCACATGACGTTATATTGAGGAATGGAGATGGACCTTCATATGGTGTACAGTATCTCCTCCTCATTTGTTGGTCACATGACGTTATATTGGGGAATAGAGATGGACCTTCATATGGTGTAAAGGGAACACTAGATAAAAGGGTCTTAATACAAAAACATACATGGTCATATCTCTAATATAAGGTTGATATATTTCTACTGCTATACTTTAATTTTGTCTTGGACTCCACCTTTTGGCCAAAGTACACAACCTCATATAAATATGTAAAGTTGTTTATTGGTATTCTGACCGCTGCAAGACTTCCATCCTTCACTCGGAGAAGAAGGGAAAAAGATTAATTCTTTAAAGCCCAGACTACAAGAAGTGCATTGTGAAGGAGACACATCTGCAGGAGCCCAACCACAACCATCAGCACGGACTGACAGAGAACTATTTGTAAAATTATTAAGTGAACTGTTTTTGTATTTATCTTTTTGTTTATGACTTACTTGTGCCCATATGTAGAGAAGATTCCTCCTGTTCACTCTTCATCATCATCATCATCATCTCCCCCTCCTCCATAGACTGCTGATCTCCACCCACCAACGTCTCTTCTTCTTCCTCTTTAACCTCAACTTTGATGTCTTTCAATTCTTCATCCTAAACACCAAAGATCATAGAACAGATATGTAACCAGGAAGAGATTACACAGAAGAATATTATCTCAGCTTATAATACATTTTAGGTCTACATGCTCAGTCCCATCTACCTGATCCTGGTGGGGGACGGTGAGATCTTCCTGGGTGGAATCCCGGGAATACAGAGGACGGGGACATCTCTCTGGTGGGTTCCTCTTACTGGATCCATCTGTAGGAAACACACACACTGACTGAATACATTGTTTCTATGTGTGTATCAGATGATGGGGGATGTAGGCGGAGCCTCCGTACTGCTCTCTCCTCTTACTCGGTGATGTGAGGGGCGGCTCATTCTCCATCACCACGTCCTTGTAGAGATCCCGGTGTCCTTCTAGATACTCCCACTCCTCCATGGAGAGATAGACAGAGACATCCTGACACCTTATAGGAACCTGACACACACAATGATACCGTCACCACCCAGACACAACCCTTGTC